GGCAATGGCAAAGTCATCGACAACGCTTGTTTCAAAAGCATTGTAATTTCGGTTACGGCCCTGCATGATGTTGTAATAAGAAAGCCATTTGAGAGGGGGGGAAGATGGGTCCGGGTTGCGGTTGACAGAAGTAGGATGAAGGGTAACGGATTGATTGTTGGCGACGTTGCGCCAGCCTTTGCCTTCACGGGTGAGCAGCTTTGGATAGAAACTCCAAGATATGACCGAGTTGACGACCGTGTCGTTGATGCTATTGGTGTCATATTCTTCGGGAATGACGAAGAATTGTCGATTGCGGCCGCCGTAGCGCGATCTTTCCGAGTCAGTGAGGCTTGAACCACAATGAAGTTTGAGGGGGGTCCACTAGCTTACCTATTCAAAGCAGCCTTCTGTATCGGGTCGAGGGTCAAGAGACCGGCGTCAGCAATTGACACTACCAATTGCATTTTGATGTCTTCGATATTGAGCAATGTTTGTGAGCTGAGGAAGTTCTTCCGGCAGAACGCGTACTCGTTTGCACCAGGTGTGTTCCTTGTGCGTTTCCAAGAGCAGTATGCATTGTATACTGTCAGGAGGTCCGAGTCACCTGTACAGGAAAAGAGTTCTATTAGTCTGGTTTCGAGGAGCTCAGGGTACCGTGAGTAGCTTACCTTTGCGGAATGACAGTCTAGCTATATCTTTCTGCGTATTGGATCCCATCGTGTTAACGAAAGGTGACTTGGACGAAAGAATGGCTGCAATGCTGACGGTAGCATCTAAGCACCGGAAGAAGGCGCCGTGAATGATTAACTTTCCAAGGAACACGTCCAATGGTAATTTGGCCAGCTGCACTCCGAGAGGAGTCAAATTCTCTGCATTCGTCAGAGCCTTGACTTCCTTTAATGAGTCGATCGCACGGCGAATGTTCTTGGATGAGGGTGGATCGAGCGCTTCTAGTAGGGTAGGTTCCACCTCGCCCAGCTTGCATATTTTGACTCGCAGTACCAAGTCTTGGAGAGACAACCTCAACATCTCTGGCGTTTGTTGTTCCGCAAGCTGCAATCAGAAGATTAGCATGTAAAAGCTAATCTGGTTATCATGAACACATACTACGTTGTCATGCCGATATTTGGTGAACATGTGGAAGCAGATTCCGTTCTGTACTCGTCCAGCTCGTCCTCGACGTTGTTTCGCATTAGCGCGTGAGATAAATGCTTCCACAAGTCGTGAAAGTTGACGTCGCTCGTCAAACCTATTTTTCATTAGAGGGGCATCGACATGCTTGTTGCAAACTCGATACTAACCGCATGGTCTTCTCCTTGCCTACATCGATCACAGCAGTGATATCCGGAATCGTGATACCTGGCCCTGGTTAGTACAATTACGGTAGTCAGAATCTATGACTATTACCTGTTTCAGCTATGTTGGTGGCAATCACAATCTTTCTCATGCCCTCTGGAGGCACGACAAAAGCCTTCTCCTGGTCTTCGCTGGCAATGGAAGAGTGCAGGGCATGCACAATCCAGCCTTGCTGAAAAGTGGGATCGGAGATAATCTCGTCGTTCAGGCGGCGGATTTCAGCCATACCGGGCATAAAGATGAGAATAGCTTTGCTGTAATGAGTCATGTCGGGCGATGTGGCGATTTTGGCGACAAGGCGCTTAATGAGTTGATAATCGAGGCGATACTCGTCGAAATTCAGGATGGTTTCACGGGTCTGCTTCGAGTACCCGTCAAGCGTTGATAAAAGACCGCCACCCGCTGCCTCACCTTGAGCCATCTCAGACGCCAACTCATCTGAGTCTTCGTCCAAGACACCATTCGACTCATTCTCAAGCAGTCGATAGTTAGTCATCTCAACAGCGTCTTCCAAGAACTTCATCTCTACAGGGAAAGTCCGCCCAGGTATATTCAGCACAGGGACCCCGCCCAGGTATGTCGAGAAGCGTTGTGCTTCAAGTGTAGCCGACATCAGTATCAACTTCAGGTCAGGTCTTCTCACCATCAGTCGGCGGAGAACGATGAGAAGGAAGTCACTGTCAATAGAACGCTCATGAACCTCATCAAGAACGACATGTGTGATGTCTCGGAAATCGTCCGGACGCTCCAGCATACGCACCACGACTCCCGTGGTTCTACCAAAAGTCAGTCGAAAGCACTCGGCGAATTATAGGGAACAGCGACATACGCAAACACAAGCCTCGTGGGCTGGCTGACTTTGCTTTCCAGCCTGACAGCAAATCCAATAAGAGAACGAGCTGTCCCAACGTCGTTCTTATTTTCCCCAAGCTCCTCACTGACTCGTCGAGCCAATGATATAGCGGAAATTCTGCGCGGTTCTGTGACGTAAATTTTGCAAGGGCGGCCTTGCTGCATCTCATGTTCCAATATGAATGACGGGATCTGGGTACTTTTACCACTTCCCGTCTCGCTGCAAATGATAAGCGCGCGGTGTGTATCTAGAGTGTTCAAAATCTCGTCCCGGAAATTCCAGATGGGCAGGTTCATCCTGCCCTGAACCATGTACTGGAATGATGCGGTAGAGGACTTCTCAGTCCAGATCCTCATCAATTCCACATCAGGCTCTGAGCCATCCCTGGCGCCGGCTCCACGGACGGGAGACTCTGGCTTGCTGGAAGTTCCGTTCCTGCGCCGGAAATTATCTGACAGGACAACGTCATCTTCAAATGTGCCATGATTTTCCTGGAGTAGCTTTTTCAAAGTCTTCACCGTTTTCTTATCAGCTTCATCTTCTTGCAACTTCTTTGCGTTGGCAAATTCTGTATAAAGATCTCGCCATACGGCAGGAAGACGCAGATAAGCTTTGCCCTCTTTGGAGGTCTGAGGAAACAGAATGAAAAGAGCCAGGGTTGAGACAAATGCTTCAGCTTGCTGCGATGTGGGGGTTGCCACTTTATCCATTGAGACGAACGTGGCATATGAGTTCGAGTTGTGTGTAGTACTTTCCCATTGAAATGGGAAGGGGATCTCTTGGGGTTTAGACCACCGCACTTCAACCGCGTATCGATTCATATGCGATGATGATGAGCAGTCTTTGTACGTTACTTTGCATCCGGTATCTCTGAGAGCATTTCGTAAACCGGCTTATCCCATCATCCAGGTCCATGAAGAAGAGCGCATGAACTTACCTTGCCTTGCAGGTCTCCTCCAGGACTCGTCGAGGGCTGAGTCCAGACCATTTTCCAAAGTCGCGAATTTCGATCGCAGCCTTGTTCAGCTCTTCCGTAATCACACCCAATTCCATAGTGGGTTCTTCAGACCCAAACATGTCGCCTAGTAAATCTGCGTCTTCTCCGATACCGTCCAGCGGTGCTGCATCGCCATCTAGCTCTGCCTTCTTTTCCTCCGATTGCTCTTTTTCGGTGACCTCTTCGGCCGGAGCCTTCTCTTCGGGCTCGGTTCGGCGAGCAAAAGCTGCTTCCTTTCGCAAGTCGTCAAGCTTTTCCCTCCACCTGTACTCGGCCTCATGCCGGTCAAAGAGTACATCATTTTCAATACTGGCAATTTTGCGTTGCACTTTCGCTGCCTGCGGGTCCTGACTATCAGTTGCAGTTGATTTACGGCTTCCCTTTTTGCCTTTCTTGGGCTGGTCGAAAAGCTCTGGCCGCAGCTCGTAAAGCCGGGTTTGCAGCTCCAGGTACTTGGGGGTCAAAGTATCAGGATCGAGGGAGCTGTCCGAATCATAGGCATACGACTGCGAGGGACTTGATCCTTTTACAACGCTCTTAGGCTTCTGCGCTCTGCTATCACTTTGAGTCTGTGCTGGGGTAGAAGCTTGTGATGGCTCACGATCTGGTGCCAGTTAGCCATCCGATCCTTACGCAATACCAAGCGTCTAAGGTTACCAGTGATCCAAGAGATTTTCTTATCGAGCTCGCTTCGTTGTTGGATATTAGTCTGGGTGTAAGAAGGTAGTTCTTTGGGGTCGCAGTGCAAGGCCAGCCAATCTAGAGCCTCGTCCAGGTTGCAGACCACCTCTTTGTTTGTGGATGTGAAATTACCGGGGAAATACAGCAGTAGATGCTTTAAGGCCTCATCAACTTTCTCTTCTGAAAAGCCGAGTTTAACAAGGGTCTCCTTGAGTGTCCACAGTCTCATATACAACTCTTCTTCCGGGATGGGCTTCTTCGAGCTGGAATCCCGGCTTGGAACGGGGTTGAGCTCGCGCTCCTCGGTCTCGACCAGGCTCAATATGGTATTCAAAACGTCCGAGGGCAGCCATTCCAAGAGATTGATTGAGGCGGCTTGTTGCCGAAGTACCCTCCGCTCGGTGTCCAGCTTAGTAACCTGTCTGGCTGCGTCATTCCTGCATTTCGATGCGTATTTTTCCACGAGGAGCTGCAGCTCAGCTTCCTCCAAATGCTTCTCAAGTTCTTCGGGGGTATAGTCCTGGAGCGAAGGTGCCTTGTCCTTGTCGCTATTTGTGGTCGCTTGCTGGTTTTCGGCGGGAGTAGGACGGTCACTTTCCGATACGGACTTGGATTCCACAGTGGAGGGCGGTAGTGAAGGTTCTGTAGATTTGGGCTTAGAGGGTACTGAGACCGTTGCGAAACCTCGAGCCGGATTAGAAACAGCTTTCTTTTTTTTCCTATTATTGGGCGGCATGATGGCGGGTGGGTGAGAGGGGACGGAGGGGAAGCGGGCGAGCGAAAGAGAGCGAGAGAGAGAGAGAGAGAGGGAGGGAGGAACGGAGAGAGGCCAGTCGGTCAATGGGATGGCGATTTGGTTCTGTTGTTCAACTGGAGTTTGAGAAATTAGTTTTAAGGTTAAGATTAGTCCAAGCACATATTTTGAATAGTGAGTCGAGACTGAAAGGTTGGAAAGAGAGATATCGTCATAGCCTTGTCCGGTCGGGAGGGACTGACTGCGCGCACAAGAGTTGGAGAGTAGGAAGTTACCAAGGTTGTTACTATAAGGTAACTAGTACTGTACAGTACTTACTGTACGGGAGGGCTGGCTCCCCTCCCGAGTCCCTCCCCTCCCCCTCCCCACAACCGCCGCAAAACTTTTATGACAACATCATCGGCCCCCCATTCGTTTGTGCGTGTGTCTGCCCATTGTCTTGTCACGCCGGCATGCTCCAGTCCACCACATAACATGGACGACTTCCCATGGGAACAGGTGGATTCCGGCAATCTGGAGAGTTTGCAGGTCGTTCTCTTTTCGAGTTCGACTGCTCGCAGAATCCGTGCTCTCCAGGAGCTCCGCGATAGAATTGGTCAGTGTTCAGTGTTGCCAGTCCTCTCGTCCTCTCGTCCTCTCGTCCTCTCGGCAAAAGCCCACCAGCCCAACCTCCAGTCCAGCTTTGCCCATTCCTTCACCACGTCTGCTTTATGGAGATGCTAATTGTGCGCTTTCGCTTCATCAGCTTCTACATTGCCCTCTCAAATCCGTCAGCCTGTCATTGGCCTTCTATTCACAACTTATCCTCGCTATGTCGACCGTCCTTCTCGTCAGGCCGTTCAGCAATGCCTCCGCGAGCTGCTCAAGGCTCCGGTCCCGACCGAAGATCTAAAATATTTCACCCAGAAATTGCAGAATGAGGCTACGAAACCACTGGCTCCCGGTCCGGCTTTGGTTCTTGTCGAATGGTGCTCGATTGTGCTACAAATTGTGGCTGAAGATCCCGCGGCGCCGCTTTCTGCCGCTCTGGACACGATTGCGGTGGACGCCAGAGCTCTAGATACTTGTCTGGCTGCTGCTGGTTCCAAGCTGGCTGTGAAAATCTCCGCCCTTCGAGTCACTAGACGTGCGCTACGTGCAGTCTTTGGCTCCGCTACCTGGGGTGAGGATGCAATTCGTCAGTCTGTTCAGCGATTGACCAGCGACGCTACCGCGGGTCAAAAGAATGCACCTTTCCTTGGCGTCATCTCCGGAGTCTGCGCTCGTCTTCCGACCAGGAAGCCGATCCTGGAGGAGCAAAAGAAAGCCATCATCGCCTTCTACACCAAAGAACTAGTCGGTTCCAAGTCCGCTCCGCCTTCGCATGTCGCCGATGCATTGGGTGACTTCTTCGTTGCGTTTGTTACCTACGAAGATGTTGCGTCTGAGTTGACGCCGCCCTTTGAGAAGGCCATGCTGCGGTCCCCCGAAGTGGTATTCAGCGGCTTGCTTCCATCTCTCTGCTCCTCCCTGCCAGATGATTTTGATCTTGCGGAGCTTCTACATACTCGACTCTTGAAGCATTTGTTGTCGAGTATGAAGTCAGCCAACCCCGCAATCAGACAAGGCGCCGTCCGTTCCTTTGAGGCACTGCTTTCGAAGTCAAAGAGTGACACCCTTTTGCTCAAGGTCACCAGCGAAGTCGTTGGTCCTCTCAAGACTCAAAAAATCACCAATCCGGAACAACGTGCCGTGTACGCCCAAGCCATTGCTGCTATCCTGCCTTCCGTCGATATTTCAAAAGAAGTGGTCCAAGGTCTTGTCCCTGTTTTCTCGCGTGAATCCAATGAAGCCGCCTTGGAACAGGAAATCAAATCGTTCTGCAAGCATCTGACATTCCTTGTACACTCCAAGGTCAAGGTCAACGACGATGTCGTCGGCGCAATTGTGAAGGGGTCTTCCGACAAGCGCGTACCGTTCAAGAAGCTTTGGCAGCTCAATGTCAGTGAGGTATTCTGGCAGGTAGAAGCGTCGACCTTGGCAAGCGCTGAGGTTGAACCGCTCGTCAACAAGTATCTGGGCAAAATGAAAGAACTATACAATGAGGTCTTCTCCAACCCAATGCCTTCTGCTCAAGGTGGATCATTGTCCACAGCTCATATTTACCTTGCCCTATTGGAGCGCTCTTCTCCCCTCGCAAGCTTCGATAAGGCAGCTTGGGACGAGACTATCGCACAGGCGACGGTGCTCAACCCCAAGCCGTCATTCTTGCTTAACCCCAAGGCATATTCTAAGCTGACTTCTCAAGCTGAGATCCAGTGGGCTGTGAGAGCACTTACTGCAGTCACCACTAGCTCCAAGTTTGATGGCGCCGAAGATGCAGCTAAGACTGCATGGGCCCAGGCTTTCATTTACAGCATCACTGCCCCTGCACTTCACACTAGCTTCCGTGATGAATCTGCTCGTGCACTGACAGAGGTATACTTGAAGAGTGTGGCTGGCACCAGCCGGATCATCATTAATGGCTTATGGGCTTGGATTCTTGCTTTCAGAACAGGCGAGAAGGAATCCGCGCCCATCTCTGCGGGTCCCGAAAGCGAAAGACACCTTCATCTCGTTCTAAAGGCCATTTGCCCGCCCTCGTCTACCTTGCAAGCGGTGGAACACAACGCAGCCGATCTGAAGAGCCAGCTTGTTGATTTACTTCTCCTTTCTCGACCTGAATTGATCCCGAATGCGTCTTGGATCTCCCTGTGTCTCAGAACAGGTACCGATCCGGGTGATCTGGTGCGCGAGTTTGCAGATGACTGTTTGAAGCAATTGACCCGCGTGCAGGGGGTAAGCATGGCCCTGATTCTTCTACAGTCGGTTACTAACGGCTGGTAGGATCCCGTTCAGTCCAAAATCCCTCGACTGAATGCCGCTATCTGGAGCGCGGCCGGCGAACTGAGCTTTGTAGCCCCGGATGCTATGGTACCTCGACTCGTCGCCCAAATTCGGGAGGACTTGGATGTGTCTCGTGTTTCCAAGTTCACTCCAACTGATGTCGCCATCGCACGCACACCTGAGGGAACTATGTTCGTCGATGTCCTTAGCACTAAATCAAAGCCAGCCTTCGACAAGAACAACAAGGACTACAATATCCTCAAGTGGGAAGAAGAGCTACGTGTGCAATTGGCGGAGAAGAAAGGCCAGAAGCCAAAGAAGCTTACTGCTGATGAGCAGGCAAAGGTCAAAGCTCAGCTTGCCAAGGAGTCCAAGATCCGTGAGGAGGTCCTTGAGGAAATCAAGAAGATCGAAAGGGGAACTGGAATTATCCAAGGTCTTGCTGGTGGCCCGGCAATTGACGCAGATGGCTGGATTAACCCTGCTGTGAGCGCCTTGCTCGCATTGGCAGAGGCTGGTGCAGGTTTGTTTGTCGGTGATGTCGTTTCCAAGGCCTATATCAAGTGTGCAGAGAAGCTTTCTTCACGGCTTGGTCCGTTGCGGCCTTTCGTGGGTATTGCAACTCTTCGCGCGATCGGCCAGACACATCTGCCTCCTGATATGGAATCTGAGTCTCTTGGACGTAAGTCACCGTTATCGGCAAGAACTCGAATACGACGTAACTAACACGCCGTAGAACTCGTAACCAGGATTCTGTATCGATTGCGGTTCGCCTCTGAACAACGCCCTCTTGATATCTCGTCACTGGCATACGTTCTTCCCTTGCTCTTCTTGATCCTCGATCGGAACGGCATTGAGGAACAGAAGGGGGAAGAAGGCGAGCAAGTTCTCCTTGCCATCGAAGTTTTGTCCTTCCATTCAAGCTCTTGTAAGACCCATGATCCGACTTGAATCCTGATTTTGTGGAACTGATTTTATATGTACAGTTACCGACGAACGCCTCCCTCGGGTTGAGGTTCTGAACCACTTGCTGTCAGCAATGCAAAGGTACACTCAACACTATAAGTTGATCAAGGACACCCTTTTCGACTTCTGCCGGTATATTTCATCCAATATCACTCAAGCCGAGCTGGATGTTCTGTTGAAGGGCACAATTGTCTCTGAGGTGTCTGTTCGTACATCTGTGCTGCAAGTCATCGAAGCTGAAATCGATTTGACCGATCTCGATTTCTCGGAGCACATCTGGCTAGAATGCCATGATCATGTAGAAGAAAATGCAGAAATCGCTGAGAATATCTGGGAAGAAAACGCGCTGGAGGTTGATGACTCCTCATATGGAAAGATCATTCCCTATCTCGCCTCGAAGGATTCGCATCTCCGCGGTGCTGCTGCTCGCGCCTTGGCCCATGCTATTGAGTCAAACCCATCTATCTTCGATGAGATCGTTTCGGAGCTGCAGTCGAAGTATTCAATCGAGATCCAGCCCAAGGTCCCTGAGAAGGACAGCTACGGAATGCCCAAGAAGATGGACTTGACCGACCATTGGGAGTTCCGCAGTGGTATAGCCCTCGCGCTCGGTGCTATGACAAATTTATATGAGGGCGAGCAGATTGTTGAGTTCCTGCGCTTCCTGATTGAGAGGGGTCCATTGATTGACAAGAGCTCCGTGGTGAGATCCCAGATGGCGGAGAGTGGTCGATCCGTCATCGCCGCACGTGGCCAGCAGGTTGTGGAGGAGTTGATGAAACTTCTGGAAACTACATTGGAAACATCCGACAAGGGGAGCGAGACTTCTGACTTGCTCAATGAGGCTGTGGTTGTTCTGTACGGATCCTTGGCCCAGCATCTTAAAGCAGACGACCCTCGTCTACAGATTGTCCTTAAGAAACTTTTGGGCACTCTGCCTACGCCTTCGGAAAGCGTGCAGTCTGCAGTTTCTGGGTGCTTGCCACCCCTCATCCGACTTTGCGGCCCCCAGCAGAGCGGACAGTATGTCAAGGATATGCTGGATCAACTTTTACAGTCTAAGAAGTATGCTACTCAACGTGGTGCAGCCTATGGTCTCGCTGGTATTGTCAGTGGCCGGGGTATCTCCACGCTGCGCGAATTCCAGGTCATGGCTCATCTACAGGATGCTTCGGAGAACAGAAAGGAGCCCCATCAGAGACAGGGTGCTTTATTGGCATATGAACTGTTCGCGACCATTCTTGGTCGAACATTCGAGCCATATGTTATTCGGATTGTCCCTCAACTCCTTGCTAGCTTCGGAGATGTGAACGCAGACGTCCGTGATGCCTGCCTCGATGCAGCTAAGGCCTGCTTCTCGAACCTCAGCTCGTATGGTGTCAAGCAGATTCTTCCGACTCTTCTTGATGGTCTCGATGACACGCAGTGGCGTAGTCAGAAGGGAGCTTGTGATCTTCTGGGTGCTATGGCTTATTTGGATCCCCAGCAGCTGGCGGCCAGTCTGCCTGACATTATCCCCCCGCTAACAGTTGTCTTAAATGACACGCACAAGGAGGTGCGTAATGCAGCCAACTGCAGCTTGCAGCGCTTCGGTGAAGTTATCAGCAATCCTGAAGTCAAGAGCCTGGTCAACGTACTCCTCAAGGCGCTGAGTGACCCCACTAAATACACTGACGAAGCTCTCGACTCGCTCATCAAGGTGTCTTTCATTCATTATCTGGATGCTCCTTCCTTGGCTCTCGTCGTTCGTATCCTCGAGCGCGGTCTCGGCGACAGGTCGAATACGAAACGCAAATCTGCCCAGATTATTGGCAGTTTGGCTCATCTTACGGAGCGCAAAGACCTCATCTCTCACCTACCGATCATCGTTTCCGGTTTGCAGCTGGCTATTGTTGATCCTGTACCCACTACCCGTGCTACAGCTTCCAAAGCCCTTGGATCGCTCATTGAAAAGCTTGGAGAAGATGCCCTTCCCGATCTCATTCCCAATCTCATGGCTACGCTCAAATCTGATACCGGCGCTGGCGATAGGCTGGGATCCGCTCAAGCTCTTTCGGAGGTGCTCGCAGGCTTGGGTACTACCAGACTGGAGGAGACGCTGCCTACCATTTTGCAGAATGTCAGCAGCTCGAAGCCATCTGTTCGCGAAGGCTTTATGACCCTCTTCATCTTCCTTCCCGCTTGCTTTGGAAACAGCTTCGCTTCCTATCTTAGCAAGATCATCCCCCCAATCCTTTCTGGTTTGGCTGACGACGTCGAATCTATTCGTGAGGTCTCGCTCAAGGCTGGTCGCTTGTTGGTCAAGAACTTCTCCTCCAAGGCCATTGACCTGCTTCTTCCGGAGCTTGAACGTGGTCTTGCGGACGATAGCTACCGTATCAGGTTGAGTTCCGTTGAGCTGGTTGGTGACCTTCTTTTCAGTATCACTGGTATCACAGCCCGGGCCGATGCAGAAGAGGAAGAGGAAGAGGCCGCCCAAGCTGGCCAGTCGCTTCTCGAAGTTCTCGGAGAGGAGAGAAGGAACAAGGTCTTGTCTGCGCTCTTCATCTGTCGCTGCGATACTTCCGGTCTTGTCAAGAGCGCCGCTATGGGTGTCTGGAAGTCACTTGTCGCTTCGCCCAAGACCCTCAAGGATATGGTGCCCACTCTATCTCAGCTCATCATCCGCCGCCTTGGCTCTTCTAACATGGAGCACAAAGTCATCGCTAGCAACGCTCTGGGAGACCTTATCAAGAAGGCCGGAGAGTCTGTTCTCGCGACTTTGCTTCCTACCCTCGAGGAAGGTCTTCAGTCATCTCCCGATGTGGATGTGAGACAGGGTATCTGCATTGCTTTGAGAGAGCTTATCACCTCTGCTTCTCCTGAGGCTCTTGAGGACTACGAGAAGGTTCTCATCTCGACTGTCCGGGTGGCCTTGGTTGATAATGATGAGGATGTGCGTGAGGCTGCCGCCGAAGCATTTGACGCTTTACAACAGATTCTTGGCAAGAGGGCCGTCGATCAGGTCCTTCCTCATCTCTTGCTTCTGTTGAGGAACAGCGACGAGGCAGAGCAGGCACTGTCAGCCCTCCTGACACTACTCACTGAGCAGACGCGAGCCAACATTATCCTGCCGAACCTCATCCCCACTCTTCTCACCTCTCCGATCTCAGCATTCAATGCCCGGGCTCTCGCCTCCCTCGCGGAAGTGGCAAGCAGCGCTATGACACGTAGACTGCCTACGATTCTCAACTCCCTGATGGATAATATCGTGTCTACTACCGACGAGGAGCTTCGACAAGAGCTCAGCAGTGCTTTTGATACCATCTTGGTGTCTGTTGACGAGAATGACGGTCTCAATGTGATGGTGAATGCCATGATGACTCTTCTGAAGCACGACGACCACGTCCGTCGCGCTACTGCTGCGGTTCATCTCAAGAATTTCTTCGCGAATGCTGAAATCGACTATTCCAGATACCATCAAGACTTGATCCGGGTCTTGCTCATTTCTTTCGATGACGGCGACAAGGATGTTGTGAAGGCCGCATGGGCAGCACAGAGCGAGCTTACATCTCATCTGCGCAAGGAAGAGATGGAGGTTCTTACGATCCCCACGCGACAGGCGTTACGTTCTGTGGGCGTTCCTGGCGCCAACCTTCCAGGTTTCAGCCTCCCCAAGGGTATTACCGCTGTTCTGCCGATCTTCTTGCAAGGTCTCTTGAACGGAAGCGTCGAGCAGCGTACTCAAGCCGCTCTTGCCATCAGCGATATCATTGATCGCACTGGTGCGGACTCTCTGAAGATGTTCGTCACGCAAATCACGGGTCCTCTTATCCGTGTCGTGTCTGAGCGGTCGGTGGATATCAAATGTAAGTCCTTCTCTTCATTCTTACAACGCTGTTGTCTTCGGTCCTTTAACTTACGATGAACTTCAGGTTCCATCTTCTTCACTCTTAACAAACTCCTGGAGAAAATTCCGTTGGCTGTCAAGCCATTCTTGCCCCAACTTCAACGGACGTTCGCCCGTGGTCTGGCCGACTCTACTAGCGAGACTTTGCGCAACAGGGCCGCCAAGGGTCTTGGAATCCTGATCACTTTGACTCCTAGGGTCGACCCTCTTATTGCGGAACTCGTTACTGGAACCAAGACACCCGACGTTGGAGTGAGAAATGCAATGATGAAGGCACTTCAAGAGGTTGTCGGCAAGGCCGGCGCCAACATGAGTGAAGCTTCGAAGAATGCTATTCTGGCCCTGATCGATGACGAAGCCAGCGATCAGACTGACGCTGTAGCTATCACCAATGCCAAGCTTCTGGGTGCTTTGGTCAAGGTGCTTCCACCAGCCACAGCAGGCCCACTCATCAAGAACAGAGTCCTGACAGCCAATGTCTCTCATTCTTCGATTTTGGGTCTTAATGCTCTGCTTGTCGAGGCGCCTTCCGCATTGACTGAGCATTTTGCCACTGAGACGCAGGCTGTCATCTGCCAAGGTGTCACCAACAAGGATGTAAGTGTTTCCAGCATGTAGGACCACGGACCGCGCTAACTCCTGATAGCCCTTTATTTCCGACAACAGCGTCTTGGCTGCAGGTAAATATCTGCTTATTGAGGATGAGCATCGCAACTTCGAAGTCAGCAAAGCCATTTTTGAAGCGTTGGCGCCTTGCATTCAGCCTGGTGGGCCCTCCGATACCCGGAGATTGGCTTTGGTGGTCCTGCGGACCGTCAGCCGACTTCATCCGGAGTTGACTCGGCCGCACCTGGCTCTCCTTGCGCCCCCCATCTTCGGCAGTGTGCGCGACATGGTCATCCCTGTGAAGTTGGCGGCGGAGGCTGCCTTCCTCGCGATCTTCTCTGTGGTAGAGTCTGAAAGTGCCGTATTCGACAAGTACATGGCTGGCCCTGGGGCTGAGCTTCCGCCGGGCCCCAAGCGGAGCATGTCTGACTACTTTAAGCGTGTTGCCTTGCGTCTTGCCAGCCAGGCCCGAGAGCGAAAGGAGGCGGAGGGTGGACAGGGTGGGCTAGGCCTGTCCAATGATGAGGTTGATGACGAGAAGGAAGTGTGGAGCATTGGCAAGGTCGATCTTGGAGAGGGGACGTTTGGTGATGATTGATGGTAGGATGATGTTGTGAAGTAGACTTGATCTAGCAGTGGCATGAATTAGATTTATACCCTTGTATCGGGGGTTGAGGTTGATTCTGATGGGGAAGCCTTGGAGGAAAGAAGGAGAAGGTTTTAGGAATGTTTTATGTTTATAGGAATGTCATATGTTATTGGTATATGGTCCATGTCATTCGATGTCATAAGGTAAGTACTACTAATGCCTAGACTAGGTATCCATGATCTTACTTGGTGGTACTTAGTGTCGACTCCATTCGTACTTGGCTGTCTAGACTTGGACTAGCCCTATCTACTTATCCATGGAGTACGGATAGATAAGAAACACCATGAGCTTATCAGTCACGTGCTGGTCGGTCGGCGGAAACCAACATCAGAGAAAACATCAAGAGAAGAATCGAGCAAGTGGATGCAGAGAAAGGTGGAAAACAAGAAAAAAATGGCAGACAGCCTCAGCATCCATGTAACTCGTCTAGGTCAGATAACACTGCGAAACCTATACCTGACTCGTCTGTACATGGAGGTGAGGCTCTGGCGGCGGAACCCCAGATCGGGACAAGCGGCTGGGGCACAAGCCCTAGGGTGGATTTTCTCGCTTAGAGGCACAGTGGCTTAGCTAATCAGTGGGCGTATCTCAAACTCCTCAGCTGGGAATTCTACCCGTCGTCGAGTGCAACGAACATCATCCGCCAACGACCGTCGATACGCCGACATCAAGATGTGAGTCCTATCATCGATTTGTGCTCGTGTCGTTTGAGAGGAGAATTACGGCCCTTCGATGGACTACTTTTTTGGCCCTTTTGCCCAACCATGCACCACCTCCTCCGCATATGCCCATCGAGGGGCCCTTATCACTCCTCCACTCGTCGACGAAGCAAAGGAATTTCTCGGATCGCGTTGGACTGCATGCTGACCGTCTGGTTTTTTTCCCACACAATAGGGTCAACCTTCGCACCCAGAAGCGCCTCGCGGCCTCCGTGGTCGGCTGCGGCAAGCGCAAGATTTGGCTCGACCCCAATGAGATGAATGAGATCTCCAACGCCAACTCCCGTCAGACCATCCGCAAGCTCGTCAGCGATGGCCTCATCATCCGCAAGCCCGTCACCATGCACTCCCGCGCCCGTGCCCGTGAGCTCGCCGCCGCCCGCAGAATCGGCAGACACCGTGGTCTGGGTAAGCGCAAGGGTACCAAGGAGGCTCGTATGCCCAGGTATGCACTCCCGACTCTCTCTCGCCTCCACGCAACGGAAGGATCGGTCTTAGGCTTTGGATATGACTGGACTGCGATACTGGAAATCTGGGTTGAAGACAGAAGGTGCTGACATGCGGTTTTCTTCCCTCACTACAGCCAGATCCTCTGGATGCGCCGCATGCGTGTTCTCCGCCGCCTGCTCGTCCGTTACCGTGCCTCCGGCAAGATCGACAAGCACCTGTACCACGAGCTCTACCACCTGAGCAAGGGTAACACCTTCAAGCACAAGCGTGCCCTCATCGAGCACGTAAGTTGACTCCTTTGTCTGCTTTGCTGCACGAACCGCCTTTTTTGTCACGAACCCACCACATTTCTTGGAACTACACATAGTCCTATGGCGGGCTGGCAGAACTTGATGGAGACTAGGAACTAACCCGGTTTCTTTCACCCACCACAGATCCAGAAGGCCAAGGCTGAGAGACACCGTGAGCGTGTCCTCAAGGAGGAGATGGACGCTAAGCGTGCCAAGAACAAGGCTCTCCGTGAGCGCCGCTTGGAGCGCAAGGAGGCCAAGCAGAACGCTCTGGTCGCCGAGGCCCAGGAGTAAATTTCTTCTGTTTGACGAACTTTGGCGGTGCGGAGGTTGAAAAGCGGGGGATAATGGGTTAATCGATCAGCCAGTGGAATATAAATCAGGTCGACCAAAACTACACAGTTCCCCGTTTTTTCGTTGCAGGTCTGGCTCGTTGGCTTTGAGAAGAACAAGAAAAGTTGCATCCGGGACACATGGCTTCTGTCTGAATCGTATCAAGGAGGCAACCCGGCACACCTGGGTTCGTCGGGGACACGGGGAAATTAACATATATCACCTCTGGGTTTACCTCTTTGCCCGTTTACACCACGGGGAGAAAGCCTAGAGCATGTGAATATGGAACAAGACAAGAAAAAAAAAAAGAGAAATGACCAACTTTTTCATCAAAGTCCAAAACAATGGCATGGCGCTTTGTGTGTGTTACGAAATTCCCGAACATTGTTCTTTCTATCTTCTACTCACACACATGGTCTTTTCCATTTGCCATCTCTTTTTATACCCCGGACAAAAATTCAGCCAGAGCCATTCTACCCCGGATGTCTTTTCTTCTTTCTCGTTATCTCATGCCATCGCATTCGGGCCCTGCTCTCCACCTTATCTACTCAACTCCTCCTTCCTCCCCTTCTAAGGCCTGGTCTAGCCCTTTTCCTCCGGCCGGGTTACCCTTCTACCCCATCCCCAGCTATAATTCCTCCCCCACATCGTCCTTGTTTAATGTCGTAACGTTTCCTGAATATCACGCTTGAGGGTTCCAGTCCAGTCCAGTCGCGGGGTCTCTTCTCGCTCGTAGGATAAATATTCTATCGTCGCGATGCTGTACAATAAAAAGCCCCACCTAGAGGAATGTTGACCGAAATGAACCCACTCACCCCTAAGAAATGGGAATTGGGATCATCATCCATTCCCCTCTTGTTTCGCCATGAGGTTGTGAAAGCCCGCCTTGACACAGAACCACGGGCATTTTTCCTGTTTTTTTCTTTTCTTTTTTTTTTCCTTCCACGAGGTTTTACGTCTAGAGGAAACCCGCCCACCGCACGCGACTCCCGCATTCAAAGAATTCTGTTTTCCTTCTGATGATCAGCAAAACTGACTGAGTGGCTATGAGTATCGTGCGGGACAACCTAGGAATCAGGCCCTGCCATGTTCGGCAAACTTTATTGTACTTACATAACTCTTATGTTACTACACATATGTACTTGCACGTAACCCGTTACTCCACTGCGGGTGTGTGGGCGGACACTATCAATGAAGTCATGCCTCTAGGGGGGGGGTATGACATGATCTTGGCTTCATCGCATCTTACTCCAAACACATTGGAAAAATTCAATTGGCCAGGCACAGTTCAAACTGCGAATCCCGATTATCGCACCTCGTGTGGTTTGTTGGGAAGGGGCAATCTGTAGCGGGGGCGTAGTAATTAATGCATAGATGTCCTCGGATGGCGGGTTGGATATATAAAGTGGTGGTGGGTGGAGTTGGTCTTGCGGATGCGCCGATCCCTCCAAGATAAAGGGTTAAATGGTCGGGAGGAAAGCCATTTCTTAGTCTTCAGGTGATAGACTGTCGGCTTGTTATTATTTCATCTCTTTAATCTGTTTATTTTGTGTACTGGAGTAAATTTCTGAAGATAAAAATAGGTGCACAAGATCTTGATCGATCCTATTTGCGAATAGGAGTGGAAAACCGGCTGATTATCATACAACCCGAACCACGGCACAGAACACCTTCCGTGCCTCATGGAATTATTGAGATCAAGAAAAAATCATACATGTACATGAAGTTCAAAGGTTATACAGCAAAGTAGAAACATGGAACTACGACTCCCTGTTCTCCCCAGAAACAATGGCGCAGCATATCATCATACAGCGGGTCGGTTCGGTCATATCATTATACACATCCAGTCATACGGAATCCCCGAGAATCAGATCTTACTGAGTACTACACCTGCGCGAGCGGGATGGTCGTCGAACTGCGACGATGCATGACCGCCGCCTTGACTGGATATTCCAGATCGAATGGGTCGCTGCGCGTGCTGACCCGCGCGCCCGGATCATAATACCCCTCGCCACCCCCGGCGTCCGAGAGCTCGTTGACGGTGAACGGGTAGCTGAGGCGGTTGAGGAGACTGCTTCCGGCACTGCTGCGGCCATTCGGGAGGATGAGCGTGCTGCCCAGGCTGACGTCGCCGCCGCTGTAGACGGAGCCACCCCAGGCAATGGACACGGGGCGTTGCTGCTGGGACATCTGCGATCGGCGCAGGTGGGTGGAGGTGGAGGTGGAGGTGGTGGGCGATACGATTCCCGGGCTGGGATAGGGGTCGGCGAAAGGGTTGCGCATCACTCGGTCGCATTGAACGGTCGTTCCACGGGATGACGTCGACTTGTAGGTGAATTCGAGGGGCTCGACGAATGGATTAGCGTTTGCAGCGCGGGGGATGGCGGAAGAGCGGGGGTCGTAGTAGGTGTATTCGGGTTTGGAGACGGGGACTCTGGCCACGTGAATGGGGAGTGAGCGGACAGAAGAGGAGGATTCGGAAAGAAAGGACCGGCGCGATTGGTACCCTGGACAAGAAGCACCACCTGGGAGTGCCACAGTAGGTATCTTTTCCGCCGTAAAACCTTCCTCACCTGTGCCGAGGCTCGGCGAGCCTCGACCAGTGCGTCGCTTCGAGCTCATGAAGTAATAACCTAAGACTAAAGCGAGCGCCACGAAGGCCAGTCCACCTAGCACACTGCCCAAGATGGTACGTAAGGGGGTGTTGGAGCTAGAGTCGTGGGGGAAATCTACGGGATCTGCTGAAGTGGTGTGGTTGCTGGAAGTCACATCCGTCGTGGTAGGTATGGCTGTCGATGCAGTACTGATTGCTAAAGACGTCTGGGGCGCTGATGTGATGAGGCTGGCTGCACCAAGCAAGTACTCAGAGTGCTCCGTCGACGATGGTTGCACGAGTTGGCTGGAGCTGAGACTCGGAGTTTGGGTGCTCGTTTGCGAAGACAGTGGGACGTGTTCATGTTGAACACTAGGAAGGTATGAGGTTGTGAAAGCACTAAGACTATCTGTTGTCGCGGTGGTTGCGACGGAACTGGGAAGCATATCTGTAGAAATCGCGGCTGGAGCCTGCGACAGCCGCGTTGCTGCGGTCTGCGCAGGATATTCAAGTGAATTTTGAGAATGTGTGCGGGTTGCAATCGGATCATATGCTGGGACAGTCTCATTGTCGATCAACGACGAAGCATCCGTGTTCGGGACGGCGATGTGAGTTCCTGCTGCCGGCCATGACAAGCTGGTTATTGCCGAAGGTGCCCCCGAGGGCACAGCAATGCTGGACTCTTGTGGGAACCTGGTGCACCTGGTATTCTGAAGAAGCAGACAAGCACTAGGCATGGACATGTCGCCAAGCCCGCAGGCCGAATAGCGCAATGCAAGTTTGCTGGATCCAAGGCCGAAGGCTTTAAAGATATAGACTGCATAAACGTCTGGTATAATTGCAAGAAAGAGAGACTTTCAGGTTATGAGGCCACAGGCGCGTAAAAGAGTGATAGCGCCGAGAGCACGATGGCAGCTGAAACGATCGACTAGAAACGAAAGGAGGGAGTGACAGAAAAGCAGGAATGACAGCAGCTCAGGGCATAGTCACTAAATCTTTCTCATTGTTCTTTTCCTCTATCTGGACAAATCAGGCAGGCCATGACAGGGACGTCGAAGGCGACGACGGCCCGGGTTGGACGGTATTGTTTCAGGATGCGGACGGTGAAGTAGAGGGCCAAAAAAAACGGTCAAATGCGATTCCACGTGAAGAGGCGTCGAAGTTGATGTATCCAGGATGCTAAGGAACACAGCCTCGAAAAGGGCGAGAAAAGCTGACACGAGAGGTTGACGCGAAGGAAAGAAAAAAGAAAACAGAACGGCTGGTCATCCTAGGATGATATCAACAGCAGGCAAGCTAATCTACCGAATGTGTTGGGGCCAGGCGCTTGTATGTGTGCATGTACGTAGAATTGGAAGCTGATATGCGAAGCAGGGGATAAAAAGCTGGATGAAACAGCAGAGCCACCAAAGTCGATCCGACCTGGAAGCAGAGACAGCTCTGACAAGATGGTCATATGGTTGCATAAGAGGGGTTCAGACCCTTTGGCCCCCCCCTCGCGTGAGGAGTAGAAGAGTTCATACCTAGTACTCCGTAGTTCAGGGGACACTCAGGAAACACTTGATGATGATTGAGTGGAGAGAGCAAGGTGATGGATGGCGGGACTCGGGCCAATCATGGGGGGTAGGATCGGCGATGAAAGACCATGAAGAGTGAACTGTGCAATGAGATTGGCTTGCAATCATGCGAGCATGCTGGTATATAGGCATACAGGCATATTTGACAGATATTAGGTAGATCAACAATCCGAATTGAAGGTTAAGCATGAGCGTTAGATTGGGGAGAGTGTTTGACTCGACTGACGGGATACTTCAGCTCACTCTCTCGACTCGGGAGGTCAGACCACCTGATCGTCCCCTGGTCATTGGCTGATGCTCCCCTAGTCCTGAAGTAGACTAGTGTCGGCATCAGGTGCATGCTGAGTCACATAGACTAACCATATTTGGACAAAGCCCCATTCTCCAACTGCGGTGATGGTTGCCTGAGGTTGGATCCATGATACGTCTGCCTACGTCTGCCTTTCCCCTCAATTGTTAGTTGGTTGTTCAATGATTTGACAATAGGAACAATTGGAACAAGGTCATGTCATGTAATGTGAGCAGACAGTTAGTTTGACATTACCTGGTTGTTGCTCTGTCTATGATTCATTGGCTGGCAAAGAGCAGGATCTATGCAAAGGTGTGCCATACGATTGATGTCATGGCAAGAGTGGTTCCAAAGTGGTTCCAAAGTGGTTCCAAAGTGGTTCCTCGCCTGCGCCCAAGGAAAGGCTCCTGACATTCCCAAGGATCTGCCCCAAACTCCGCCAAAACTCACTCATTAATGAGACTAATGAAACTAATGGGCATGGAGACCCTCGAAGGATGGTTGCCAAATGAGCTTGTCCACGTCCCTTGGGCTTGTCCTGGCCTTCTCCTGTTTCTTGCCCGCCACTCCAGAATTTCCCCGCATTGTGTGTGTGTCTTGTAAGTTATACATGAGTAGTTGATCTTCACACAAGAGTAGAACGTGGTCGAGAGTGTATTCAGTCAAGTCGATATGCAGGCAGTACAAAGGTCATTGGCAATGCGACAGACCGGTAAGAGTGATAGGATCAGGAGATCCCCTCGAGGCGATAATCGTCAGTAAGTACTCGAGTAGTTAGTTATCTAGTCTAGTGAGAAGTAAGTGAGTGAGTGAGTGAGTGAGTGCATGACAATGACCATGACCGGGGAATGAATAAATGAATGATGGATAATTGGAGTAAAACCCGCTGTTGATCCTTTCTGCCTCTTGCTGCCTCTTACCACAAGAGCTTCGCTTCTGTTGAAAAGATAGGTAACTACTCCGTACTCTACTTGTCTGTTCGTCTTGCTTCATTCTTAATCATCCCACATTTCCCTCTTCCCCCCTCAATCCAATCCACCACCCACTTTTTTTGCCATCGCTGGTTGGCGCTAATCTCCACCCCAACTTTTACTACCCACTCTTCATTCATTCTTCTTCTTCTTCGTCTTCTTTTTTTTTTTTTTTTTTTTTTTTTTTTTTTTTTTTTTTTTTTTTTTTTTTTTTTTTTTTTTTTTTTTTTTTTTTTTTTTTTTTTTTTTTTTTTTGCCCCCCCCCCCCCCCAATTTGTCTACATGTGTACTATTCACAGCTGCATGACCCCCATTGATTGATCAATCGATCAATTGGTCGCTCCGCCTCTGTTTAATTAGTGCTGTGCAATTCGGCTTGAATAGCTTTCTTCCTCTCCCTTTCTCACCTTATTCCCTTACATTTGACCCATCAAAGCGCTCTCTTCTCTCCCCCCCTCTCTTTCCCTCTCTGCTTGGGTGGCGTGCACACGAACCCCCGGTACAGTACCTTACAGATTATCTCCTCCCACACTTGCGCGTCTCTCCCCTGTGTGATCGATCGACTTTCCCGGCATCATGTTCGGGTGGTCTGGTTCGCTGGGTAAGGCTGCCCGTTTCCCACTATTCTTTGGACAATCTTCCCTCTCATGCAAATCGTTGCTCTCGTACATCAACCACTGTTCTTATCTCGATGGCCCCCATGCAGGACCCTGTAATCACAGCACAGACCCCGCGACATAAGCGGCGGCTCTGCTGGCCTCGTGGTTACCTGAAGCCACAGAGTTCTTTTGCTTCGGTCGCGCAATGGTCTTTGGGGTCAATTCTGCCTTGTGCCTATGCTTCCGAGGGCCCCATACCCCCCAGTGGCTCGCCGGTCGGCTCTCTGCCCAATATGAGCCACGCCCGACACGAATCACCTGTTGACTCTTTCCATTGCTGACATGATGCGATGCAGGCCTTCCGGTCAGCGCAGCACCGGAGAAAGAGCGCTGCCCACCGTCTGCCCCCACACAGCTCGACTTCCCTGTCTACCACGTCCCCGATCTTGCAGAAAATGGGTCCGAAACATCCTTGGCTAGACTCAACGAAGTGCTAGCCTCCATCCGACGGCCGCAAGATATCAATCCACAGAAATTTGAGGCCCTGAATCTGAAGTTGGAATCCGATGTCCCTGCCGCCCGCATTGTCCGTCAATCGGGTCCGAAAACAGCCCCCCCACTTCCATGGGAAAACATGTCGGCCAGATCCTCCCCGGTGGATGAAGATGGCACTCCTATTCTGATGGACAATGAGAACCCATACCCCTCGCGAGACCGGTTTGAACTGCTACAGAGTGAATTACTACTCGATAACGATGACGCATTCAGAGAGGTGGCTAGACTGCCTCCCCAGGAAGGACGGGATCGAGTCAGGGTCACACACACACGCAAGTTTTGGACGGGATTGGAGCGCATGGCTCAGTACTGGGATACCAGCTTGGACGATTACTTCGAGCGCCCGGCCTCCCCGCCATCTGTTCAGGACGATGAACCCATGCAGACGAACGAGGAGCCACAAGTATCCAAGAACCTTGACATCCCAGAGATTCGCATGGATGTGGACGGTATGGACCAGGACGAAGGCCTGGCAGACAGCCCACCAGGTCCTCGGGATCTGAAACCAGAGACTGTGACCCGATACAAAGGTCGCCGTGTTGGTTCAGGGAGTGAAATGCCGGAAGATGCGCGCGACGAAACCATACGAGCATTGACGGAGATGGCTGCCTGGCCCTTTGGATGTCAGGTCGCCCTGCCAATTGCTCCTCCCAAGTTGGCCGCCAAGACGGTCCTATTCCCAGTCCGACAGACCTTCGTGGCCGCTCGATCTCCCAAAGATCGACAGCTGGCCCGTAGTGGCGTCATGGAAGGGCCCGTCTTCACGGCTCAGTGTCGACCGGAAACTGCATTTCGAGGACCCGAAGACACCCCCGGTGAAAGCGTCGGCGATGTGTGTGATCTGCTCCGCGAAGTGGGTGCCATGCTCCTGACCGCACAGGAACGAGCCCGACAGGGAGCCACTGAAGCCAGACCAGGGGAAGGCCAGTGGTGGACGACCGTGCCGCGGTGGGGTGGTGCGCCAAACCATGCCGATGGCGATGGCCATGGGCAAGGTGAAGATGATGCCTCTTCAGTGGAGCAAGGGAATGCTCGCAAGCGTCATCAGATTGAGCATCCATTCCTTGCATTGCGTCGGCCAAGTCTGGTCCGTAACCTGAGCAACAACTCCAAGTGGAAGATCGTGGAACCCGGTCCCAGTCTTTGGGATAGGCGAATGAGGTACATCCAGATCGGGAAGCCCATTGAGAGTCCCTTCGATGATGTACGTAGCCCCGAACTTGCTTTGCGGACGAAAACAGGCATACTGACAGACAGGGCAGATCTACATGCTATCATCTATCAATCACCATCTGGCTATTCTGCACTTGCGTGTACATCGGCGATATCTCGAAATGATTACCCACGGGCGCAGCGACTTCCCACCAGTCTCGGACGGTGATCAACCGTGGCAGGTTCTCCAGCTCCGACGGACCAAGTGGTACGATTTGTTCGACGCCGAAGATCGACTTGAAGTTTTCAAGGGCATCTGGGGCATCTTTCATTATCTTTTACGGCAACAACCTTCCCCTTTCCAGCATCTCAACTGATACTTGTTTCGTGTGTGCATTTCTATGATATCCAGATCTAGCCTTCAGATCTAGCCTTCTCTGCTCTTCATTCTCGTCCACACCCGGTCAAATTTGACGGTGGACATTGCGACAGCGTTTACCTGGACTGATGTCCTATCATGACTCTCTTGCATCATATCATCATATATAGATGGCAGGACCATAGACACCGATAGAAAGCATACCATTCGTCCCTATGATACTCATTCCTTGATTTGACCTGGCCTCTCCTACCTGTCGCGGACTTGTTCTGAGTAGTCCAGGCCGAGTACTGTGTACTGAGTCTCCGGCTACTCCCGATTTAGACTCTCCTACTGCCCTACTGCATGCCTATCTAACTGGATACTTAACTACCGAAAGCAGGCAGCACAGCATAAAAGCATGCCCATCAAACAACCCGCTCCGCAGGAGAGAGTCTCGGGTTACACCACTTTTCATGCCACTCCCCCGTACCCCCCGTACCACCACCACTATCTTCAGTCTACGGTGATGCTGAGGGTGGGATATTCCAAGGAACATCCCCCAGCCCCAATGCATTACCCACGTTATCCATGTTTCCGGTAGCGTCTCGTTCATGCTTGAAGCCCAGAACGATAGCA